AGCTACAGGACTCCAATAAATATATATATAATATAGGACGCAATTGATGCAGTAGCTATAATATCTGTATTTATAATCTTTTTAATGCTCTGAATGCATTACAGATTTCCTCCAATTTATTGATGCGAAGTCAAATGTTGTTAATTTTAGCGTTAAGGAGCATCAACCAAAGTAGGACGACATGACTTGAGGAAATGGAATCTGATTTTTCTGAATACAATTTTCTGCTAATGTAAGTCCATTAGTGACAGTTGCTACAGTTGCCCTGGACACAAATCAATGAAATCAAACCATAATTTTTTTAAAATTCTTTTTCTGGCTACACCCTAAATACTTGCTCTCCTCTCGTGAGTTACGGTTTCTTGGATGCAGGTTACCTCCAGCTTTCAGCAATCTCTGTTAGCTGTAATATTGCCCCTTTGCTTGATTCAGACTGCATTCTTGAGTTCAGAGGAAAATGTAAAGAAGCAGGGTACTTGAGAGCTAGGCTTTACATTATTTCTGTTTTCTCCAGAGGATTACGTGTGCAGCGAGCTGACAGGAATTTGGAGCAAATAGATGGTTGAAGTACCGCTGTATTTAATGGAAAAAACCTACTTTCACTGTTGCTATAGAAACTGTGCTCATATACAATCAAGCAGGTTTTAGATATCTTAAGAAAAATATTTGGTCTAAATCCCCAATTTATTGTTGCACCACTTTAATTGAAGAGGCAGATTGCTGTTTAGATCTATGGAAAAAAAGCTCAAGTGGCACTTTGAAAATTTCCTTTAAAATGTTACGACGCCTGTAAAAGTGTAGTTCTTTATCAAGTAGGACATTGGGCAGGCGCAGTCTCGGGGTATAGTGGTGTGAACCCGTAATGAGATATTGTTTGCCACTGTTTATGTTTGAATCAGCACATCAAAGCAACTTATAAATGTCACGTAACGTCATCTCGAGCACGGTAGCGTTTATAAAACTCACTTTTTGCTTATTTTGCCAGAATTCTTGTTGATTCTGATGTTGCAAAGTTTCTGGGAAGAACAGCCGACTCCTAGTCCCACACAAATGTGTGTTCATTAAACCAAATTGTATGTTCATTTAAGGGATGAGAGGCTGCAGCTGCTAAATCAGGGAAGGTTAAGAGTGGATCTAATAAGTATTCAAAGTAGGATATTTTATTCATACACTGTTCCAGAGTAGATTTATTTGGTTTTGTTTGGAGGGGTAATACACAAGCATTTTTCGATACTATCATCAAAATGAATGTTTTTTTTCCAACCTAGACAATCTTAAGAGCTATTTGTTAGTAATTGAAAATAGTTAAATTGACCATATTAATGATAAGCGCTGTCCTAAAAAATGTGTTGGGTTTGTTGCGTGTGACCTAAAGTTGAAATGTTTGCTTTTTTCATTCTGCTAAACAAATGGATCCTAAAGAATTAGAAAAACGTTATCTAATTGTCCCTTTTATTGACTCCTGCATTATTTAGTTCGTTAAAAAGTCCACTAAGATTTCCACGTGTTAGTTTCTGCAATCATTTGGGTTCATAAAGTTTCACATTGTATCATCCTGCTTCTTTTAACATTTATTGATGTCATTATACACAACAATAAATTTTGTGAACAACTTAATATTTAAATCAATGTCAGTGGTTTCTTCGATGATTGGGTAAAAAGTCGGTTTGGCTCATTTGATGATACTCTTATCTCTGAGCCAGAAGGTTGTGGGTTCAAGCGCAGGGGAAGGGGTGCAGCGCAGGTTCACCAGAATGTTACCAGGCCTATAAGGGTTAAGTTACGAGGAAAGATTGCGTAAACTTGGATTGTATCCCCTTGAGTTTAGAAGGTTGAGTGGTGATTTGATTGAGGTATTTAAGATAATAAAGGGATTTGATAGGGAAGATACAGAGAAGCTATTTCCTCTGATGGGGGAATCCAAAACAAGGGGCCTAGTCTTAAAATTAGAACCAGGCCATTTAAGAGTGAAATCAGGAAGCATTTTTTCACTCGTAGGGTGGTAGAAATCTGGAATTCTCTCCCCCAAAAGGCTGTGGATGCTGGATCCATCCACACCTTCAAGAGTGCGGTTGATAGATTTTTGGTAAGTCAGCGTATTAAGGTATATGGGGAGAAAGCGGGAAATTGGAATTGAAAAGAATTAGTTGAGGTACAGATCAGTCATGATCTAATTAAATGGTGGAACAGGCTCGAAGGGCTGAACGGCCTCCTCCTGTTCCTAAGTCCCATGTCAGAGCTTGAGCTCATATCCTGAGATCACTGGGAACCAGAGATCGCTCGAAAGACTCCGTTCTGACAAAGGGTGATGGACCCAAAACGCTGACCTTTCCTTTCTCCATAGATGCTGCCTGACCTGCTGAGTGTTCCCAATGATCTCTGTTTTTGTTATTAAAGATCGCATGACTTTTTGTAAACAGAAAACAGAGTTTCTCCCAATGTCTCAGCCTGCAATCCTGAATTATTGGCACTTTATTAGACCTTACAGGTGCAAAATGATTATTGCAGTTGCCTCCTAAAGCAATCAGTTCATTTCATGGTAATTGTCTGTAAATCTTATTTGAGACATTTCAACTTAACAAGGTAATATAAAACTCAAGTTCTTTCTATAAAACCATGCCCTTTGAAATGATTTTCTCTCTTTACGTTTGGGCCATTGTCTTTATAAACATTGAAAATTGATTTCTCTATTAAAATCCTCTCTCGGTATAGTCATATTCATTTATCGCTAATGCAGAAGGAATTATGTAGGAGAATAGTTGTTGTTTATATATTTTGTCTCTGGAAGAAGCTGGTTTGATCATCTGGATTTGTTTATAATTCCATGTTTTTATTATGTTCCGTTGATTAAATCCTTTCACTTTCTGGGAGAGGAGGGCTGCCTCTTGTTAAAAGCTTATTATCATTTTTTAAAAAAAAGAAAACTCCTGTAAAAAGTTCGGATAAAATAAACTTAAAAATAAAAGTTGGTTTATATTGCGAACCCTTTTACGAAGGTGATCAAATTGTCATACTTCTAATGCATCTAATTTTTCCGAGTTCCTTTATCACAAGTTGTCCTAATTTGTATTAAGCCAAATACATATAATGTAGGTGTTTTCCTAACAATCTTTTATCTGACTGCCTGTATCTAAGATCAGTATTGATGATTGAATTGTATGTCATCTCTGTAATTACTGCTGGGAAGTACTCCACTAAAATGAACAATATACCAGCTTTGTAAATACAACTTGTCAACTGTGAACTTCTCAGATGTTTGAATGCACTCAAACACTCCCTACCCTGCCCTATTCCAAGCGCAAACACCAATACAATCAATGAAGAATGTGAAATGAAACAAACCGATGTTGATCAAATGATTTTGGGGTAGTCTGTAGTCAGAAAATAAATTTGGGATGCCTAAGGGTTGTGAAAAAAGGCTGTGGATGCTGGATAGGTTAAAATGTGCAAGACTGGGCTGGATAGAGTTTTATTGGGTATCAAGGAATATGGGGCAAAGACAGGTAACTGGAGTTGAGGTACAGATAAGCCATGATCTAATAGAATGGCAGAATAGGCTCAAGGGGCTGAATGCTCTGTTCCTATATTTCTCTCTGTTCAGCCCGAAAATGCTTTTTGCGTTACGTGCCCTGTACCTGTGGCTGAAGCTTACAGACTTTCACCAACCTCACCGGACAACCATCACCCAGGAGCTGTACAATCCTGGCCTGAATGGTCATGGTACTCCCTCCAATGTGGAAAAGGCATGTCTTCCACTCAGAACCTCCCAGCCAGAGTATGAGAGGTTGTAACCACTTCTGTTTTGATGAACTGGGGGCGTAGTCCCATATCCTAGCGGTGCACGAAGCAACAATACAGCAACAACTTGCATTTATACAGCGGCCTTCAGGCGGGGTATCGTCCCAGAGCACTTGTGAAGCAACATCTCATCAATGCTGTGCACTATGGACTTTAGAAAAGTGCAGCATTTCCTGAGCTACTAAGGATGAGCAGATTGTCACTGAGCATCTTGGTTCAATCCAGTCGATGCTAATTGATGGTGACATTCCTTTACAGAAGACAGTTTCTTGCATACCAATTGATTTCCCAATAGCTTTAAATCTATATTGTGCTATTTGGCTTAATGGAAATCATTTTGGTGAAACACTTTGATTTTTTTTGGCCAGTGTGCATTAATTAAGTAGCTTCATCTTATTCAGTCAATGAAGGTAAGGGTTGCATAACAGGAAATTATGTGCTCCCAACACAATTATCCCTTGTCCCCATCGCACAGAAAGAAGAGAGGTCAGTTTTGGAAATGTTACGCTTTGCTCATATTTTTACTTATATTACATTCATGTATGCTTGGGATAAAACACACAAAATTGCTCTTAGAGATAGCATTCAAGCACAGTTTTAGTGCAGTAGGAGCATGTGAGTGATGCTTTTGGCTGAACGTGAGTACTTTGCTCATTAGATGTGACCAAATAGGGAACATACAGCCTTGCTGTATGAGGTTCACTGCCTAAACAAAGAGTACCTTGGTCTACCTTCTCACAAGAATATACCTCTTTTGCTGGTGCATTTTTTTGGGGGGGTTGAAGGGAAAGTTGAGACTTTACAGTTGTCTTTCGGCTCCAAACACTGTCCCTGGCTAGCATCGAAGTGTTTGCAAGTCACCCAAAGTGTTTCTCCCTGTGTTTTTTTTTCCCCCCCCTCTCGCTAGAAGCCTCTCTATGACAGCATGTTTGGTCTTCCGTTGATCCACCTTGATAGTTCATACCCATTTAAATTCCTTTGGTATTCAGTGGCGGATGTACAAATGCAAGTAATATGTTTTGAGAATCGTATTAATGGTGGGAGTTAGGCAGATGTGTGTTTGGTGTTGTTGGAAAAATTGTTGAACATTGTATCATGGGCAGACAGTGCATATCGCAAGCCAGACCTTGAGAAATTTAGTGAACTCTTGCACAACCCTTGAGATTTCCATGTTATACTCATTGTTTTCACTTTCCTTCCAGCTCAGATCGGCTGATTGAAGATACGATAAGGTAAGATGACCAAATTCCATTACTTTTCATAATTTCAAAGTAAGTATGAAATATTCAATAGGCTTCCAATTAATTTTTGGGTTTGTCCTTCAGGTAAAATTTACTGTGTGTTTTCTAGGAATTTTACTGAGCATTTGCACAAATGTATTCTCTTTGTAAAACCGAAGGTTGTTTTATCACAAACTTTCGCAACCACTTACAATGAATTATAAATCAAAATATTACGTCTGAACTAATTAGAAGCCTAGACCTTCATAGCATCAGAAGACTGGGTTTGAAATTACTATAGTTTCTGTAATGCAACCTTTCCAATAGGAGGACTGAACTTAATTAACTAATGTTGAGATTTCTCAAGTTCCACACTTCCAACAATTTCTGAACGTGAAGCTGAAAGTAAATTTGATTGAAAAGTGTTCCTGAGGAACTTCTCTTATATAACATTCATTAAAGAGCAATGGAAATCTAATCCAACTCAATTTTTTTAAACTACTCCATGAGAACTTATTGATCGTATTGGCTTCAGCTAGAAGTAGGAAATGCATAAACGTATTTGACCAACCATGTCTCTGGCACGATATCAAGCTGTTCTTACGTCTCGCCTTAAAATCCTTCCAAAGGTGATCATTTTGAAATTATTTTATCTGCCTCTGTGAGGTGGGGGAAAGAAGGATTTCACAGATAAAGCCTATTGCTCAAATTAAGCAATTTATCCATCCTTGTGTAACAAGTCAGGCTGTTTAATTTGATGATTGACTGATAAAGTAGTTATTTGATCTTCATCTGATGCTTTGAGGAATCCCGTTGCAAGCAATAATACTTATTTGTCAGCCAAGTATGGTCTTCAAGTTGACTGCAGCTGTTTCTGCTGGACCTCAAAGATACAAACGAGATAAGATTCCTACAGTTTTGTGATGATGACGATGTGAATGATGCATTAATAAAGAAGGAAGTTAGATTATCTTCCTTTTAGGGCATCTTCAGGCTCCAAATAAGAGGATTCAACAAAACTCAAGGTGGTTTCCAACCACCTCTTTCTCATAGATATAAAAAATAATAATAATAATTTGGTCACTCAGTCCACGACTGTTTATGGGCCGCTGCTGTGTGCAATTGGCTGCCGCGTTTCGCCCACAAAACATACAGTCAATTCACTTTACAGTATATTCTGTGAAGCGTTTTGAGACGTCGAGAAGACGTGAAAAGTGCTATATCGAATGCAAGGATTATTATTATATGTTGTGTTCATTATACACTCTCATCCTGTCCGTAGCAACAGTTCAGGAGACCTCTTTATTCAGTCACACAGGTGCCATAATAGACTCCCTTTTGTAATTACCCTGCTTGTCATTGGTGGATTTATGTCTGTGGTGCGTAATGGATGTTTTTTTTCAAAGAATGAAGAAACAACAAGGTATTTAATCTAACCTAAGTGAGTGCAAACTGAGCCCCTTGAGCTTCATAGTGTTCTGGCGTTATCTGAAAACAAAAACAAATCATTTCGATTCTGCTGGTGTTACTTAGCGGCTTTTCAACTGGTACAGAACTGTTAACAGTATCTCAGCATTTTCTCAACTGCATACACTTGCAACTTTTGACTGATGCTTTTGTTAATCCAATAGTGAAGCACTTGCATTGGTGGCTGAGTAACGCCTGGTATCAATCCCAGCCACAACTGAACCAGAACCATTATAACATGTAGGGGAACGAGAATCAGAGCCTCTGTAATTATTCTCATTTATTTCAGAATTGCACCTATAAATTCCTTGCCAATAGCTGACAGCATTGCATTTGAAAAGTTGGGTTAAAATAATTCATGCAACAAGGTTGTAAAGACACTTGTAACTACGCCACAAAGTCTGATTTGGATTTGGCAAGCATTCAGCAATATCTCTAGAATTCCTCTTTGGACTTCCAAAAAAATGTTTTTCAATGTTTTTTCTGCATTTGCCACATTAAATGAAATAATATAACACTGAATTGACCGCCTCGCAAATGACGTTCCGATTGTATTCTCAAAGTTCCTAATTCGGAAATAGCAAATCCTGTGGCACTTATTTCAAAATTTAAAGCTGTAGAACGTGTAGTTTTTTCTCAAAAATACTGAATTATTTCTGCAACATTATTTTAGTGACAGTTTATTTATTTATTCCCAACTCCCATCAGTGCTTATGAAAGGATAGATTCATTTTATTGTGTTGTTTTTATTCCACTTCCTATACTTGTGCAGCCAGCTCCTCTTGCATTTGGAACTAATTTGTCATGAAAATATTATAGCTGACTGCAGTATACTGAAGCATACTGTGTTTGAAACTATTTAAGGTATAAGAAAAGTCCAAATTTGACAAATATAGAGAAAAATAGCCCATTTTACCTGGCAGTAAAAAGATGTAGCATCTGTAGCATGCAGAGTACCTGTTAGCCAATAACAATATTAATTTGGTCACTATTTCCACAACTCTTTGGCTGCCACGTTTCGCCCACAAAATACAGTCACTGCACTTTATAGTTTGTTCTGTGAAGTGCTTTGAGATCGCAAAGACGTGATAAAGCGCTATATTAAATGATTATTATTTCACCCCTTGAACCTTCTATGCTATTTTTTAACTTCATGGCAGCTCCCTCTAATACCTTTTCTCAGCCTTTTTTCCATATCCTTTAAAACAAGATAAATAGTCTTGAAGACGTGCTAAGGCACTGTATCAAGTGCAAGGATTATATTATTACAACCCTTTATTTCCCAAATATCTATCTGCGCATCTGTCTCTTAAACACATGAAATGATTCTGCATCAGTGGCTTTCTAGGGCAGGGCTTCCCACAGCCCCACAAGCTTTTGTGTCGAAGAAATGCATTGTCTTCTAGCCCTTTGCTTCTAATTTGGATTTTATGATTTGGATTTGACTGAAATTGTGCATTAAAAAAAAGTCAACTGTCAAAACCAAATGTGAACAAGGAATCAATGTAATCCCAATCCCATTTACTGTGTGAGTTGCAGTTAGAGGCTAAACTGACGGATGTAATATTTCTGTTGACTGAGTTTTAATGTTTCAAAAGTCTCTGCTCCAGAACATTTTTTTAAATTTGCCTGATATCAAACATTTTTCTGCACTTGAGCTCTCTCCTACATAATCGCCCCCACCCCCACTCTGATATCAACCGTAAAGCTTCTCCAATCCCCCTCATCCTCTGAAAACCCCCTCCCCTGGAATCAGACATGCAGAAGATATAAGATTGTGGCCAAGCTTCTTTAGCATGATTTTATAAAACCTACAATTATCGGTCAATGCCTAAACTCGTCTAAGTACCTCTGCTGCTTTGTGATCATTTGGATGAGGTGTGGCGTCAGTGACCTGGCCTACTTTGGTTGCCTTTCCTCCTCTTCCACATCGCTCTTCACCCAAACTCAACTAGTTAGAATAATTGGACATCCTGGGTCTCAAACGTGAAGACTTCCTTCCATCTTGCAGTGGAAATTGATCTTGTTTGATATTTGTAACACATTAGTTAATTGGTACAATGTCATCTTATCAGCGTTTGTTTACAGAGTGCACAGTAAATCCTATGAGTCTTTGAGACATTTCGATGCCATGATAAGGTTCTGCATCAATTGCAAAGATTATTATTATTGTTATTATTACCAGAAAAGGAAAACAATTGAATTAGAAAAATAACTTGATGATTACTGAAGTGGTGAAAGTTTCTTGCGGGGTCTCAAGTAAATTCCTAGTGGACTTGAGTTCCAACATAAAACTATAATAATAATATTAATCCTTGCATTTGATAGAGCGTCTTATCACTTTATAGAAAATACTGTAACCTGTAGTGACTGTGCATTTTGTGGGAGAAACGTGGCAGCTAATTGTGGACAGCAGTATCCTGCAAACAGTCGTGGATTGACGGACCAATTTATTATTTTTTTTTAAAGGTTGATTTTCCCCGGAAAAGCTATCCATCCAGCAATCGACTAACAGCTGGGTTCCTACCTCCTGCTATTCTTATTTCTCTGTAAGGGTCTGTTTCACTGTTAGAGAAACCTAGGTGTTATGTAAGGAAAGTTCTATATTTGATCTAACCTGCATTGCTAATGCTGCCTGCAATCAGGGACTGCAAAATAGAGGGGAGAATGAAAACATTTGCGGGAACTGTTGTGCTTCACAATGAGAGTACATACACAGCAACAGCTTGCTTTTATGTAGCGCCCTCCACGCCGGGCAGCGTCTCAGAACGGTTAACAAAGGCGGATCCCGAGGCCGAGATATGTTTGCTGAAAGCAATTCTTTTTTTTTTAAAAAAGAGGAGGTTCGCATATGTTGTCATGACAACACCTGCTCATAAACAACAACAACAACAAGATTCCATTTATAGAGCGCCTTTCACGTCGGGAGGACGTCCCAAGGCGCTGGACAGTTGGGTCAGGACCCGAGCCGGGGGGAAATGGTCAGGGTGAGGGGAGGGAAGGGAGGGAGCGAGGAGGGGGTAGAGAGTCGAGAGGGGAGCTGAAGCCACGGTCAAAGAGAAAGGTCTTGAGACCGGCCTTGAAGGAGGACAGGGAGGAAGCGGCGAAGGCACTGGGGGATGGAGTTCCAGAGCCTCGGGGCTGAGGGGCTGAAGGCCCGGCCACCGATGGTAGGGCGGTTGGGGCGGGGGATGTGGAGCAGACCGGAGCCAGAGGAAGCAGTGCCATTTCGCAAGTAGGAATGCACTCTGGACAATGTTTCCCCTACAATTGCATGTTTCCCTCTGGCTGACGCACTTACATTATCAGGGATTCAGCATTGTAATAAAAATACTAATCCCTGCATTTCATGTAGCGTCTTATCATATCATCGCGACTTCTCAAAGCGCTTCACAGGATATACTGTAAAGTGAATTAACTGTATTTTGTGGGCGAAATGCTAATCAGATGACATTGTACCACTTAACTACTATATTATGATGAAGCACATTATGCTTCAATGTAATACATATACATTTTATCTTGAATTATTTTTCTGAATGGGGAAAAAACAGGAAAATGAGGTCCTCTGTAATTGGTGCATTATAAAAAAAAGGTGGATTCTTGGACGTAAATAGAAAGGGGTAATTGAATCAAGGGGTTTAAATGATGCATAAAGTGCGTGAGTGGTTCACAACCGTTACATGAACCCAGACATTAAGGGTGAGAAATTTCTCGTAGGGCTAAGTGCAGCAACCTTGACGAATATCGAAGAATTTTTCCCATTATGCACACAATTTGTTGAAGTCACTGTGCTAATGGCCCTTTATGTAACTCACCCTGCAGCACGGACTGCGATGCTGAATTTGAGGCACTGAAAATTCTGTACTGCTTTTGAATTTTTATATTTCACTTGTAAGTGTAGTGTACCATGCATTGGTGATGTAGTACTCTACTAGCAATTGGAGGCAACCTTAATCCAAACGTGTTCAATAATCTGCAATTAATGCCCAGCCAGTTCCACGTCCAATACATGTTTTCAATGCAGGCTGTGATTTCTTGGGGAGAGGATGTTCAAGCTTGAAATGTTCAGTCAGCTCAGAGATGAGCTTTAGGGTTGAAATTGCTTTTTCTAAGACCCTCTGTGAAGTGCCCACACTGACGAGCTAACCCGTAGGTTGAAATGAGACTGAACATCATTGGGTTTTTAAAAGTGTTAAAAGATTCCCATGGCACTACTTGAAAAGAAAAGGGAGTTTCTCCCAGTGTCCTGGCCAAAAAGCTCTCAGATATATTTGTGTGTGGGACCTTGCTATCTATGCACATAATCGATTGCCTCATTTGCCTACAATATACACAGTCACCACTCTTTTCAGTCAATCCTGATGCATCAACGATGTGATAAAGTGCAAGGATTATTATTAAAAAAGATTTCCATGAATTGCCACAACTTTACAATCCAATATGAAATAACTTTGGGGGAAAAAAGGCCTTCACCCCAGAAAGAGTTTCTAAAAGATACTCTGTTAAATTCAGGCCTGAATGAAACAGTTTCAAACATCTAAACAGCCGCCCTTCCATCTTTTTTGGATCACTTGTTTTCTTTCGGGCCTTGCCTCATTGGTTCTTGTGTAGGAGACTCTGTTTATTCTAGGGTGTACGGTTTAATGGATTCTACAGCACTAAGTACATTACCGTTCTGCAGAGGCTGTTTCCACTGTAATTTACCTGTTATGTGGCCGTAATTTAAGTCAAATTGTATTTCACTAGGTTAGATTGACCACTCCAAATATAATCCGTTTAGCAAAATAAAATCTGATTTGCAAATGGAAGACATTTTGTAATTTACATTGTTGTTAATCTCAACTGAACATGGCAAATATCAGATGGTTACAGAGGAAACCTGAAGCCAACTTATCCGATTGATAATATTTCAGGTTCATCGAAGATACAAGGGCTAATTATGTAGGCATATGCACCTCTTGCACCTCAGGCGCTGACAGCATCAGCATCCAAGGCTGCACTCTCCACCTCTCAAAGCCAGTCAGGAACCTCGGCGTTTTGTTCGACCCTGAGCTGTCCTTTCTCCCTCACATCCGCACCACAACTGGCACCGCCTTCCATCACCTCCGGAATATCGCCAGATTACGGCACTACCTCACCCCTCACGCTGCTGAAACCCTGGTTCACGCCTTTGTCACCTCAAGGCTGGACTATGGGAACTCTCTCCTCGCCGGCCTTCCCGCCACCTCCCTCCACAAGCTGCAGGTCATTCAGAACTCTGCAGCTCGTGTACTGTCCCGCACCAGGCTTCGCGATCACATCACACCCACCCTCGCTCGCCTCCACTGGCTCCCCATCCCCAGAGGATCGATTTCAAGATCCTCATCCTCACCTACAAGGCCATTCACGGCCTTGCTCCCTCCTACCTCTCCAACCTACTATCCCCCTACCTACCTGCCCGTACCCTCCGTTCCTCTGGCTCCGGTCTGCTCCACGTCCCCCGCCCCAACCGCCCTACTATCGGTGGTCGGGCCTTCAGCCTCTCAGCCCCGAGGCTCTGGAACTCCATCCCCCAGTGCCTTCGCCGCCTCCTCCCTTTCCTCCTTCAAGGCCGGTCTCAAAACCTTTCTCTTTGACCGAGCCTTCAGCTCCCCTCTCGACTCTCTTCCTCCTCCTCCTCGCTCCCTCCCTTCCCTCCCCTCACCCTGACCATTTCCCCCCTCCTCTCTCCCTCCGTTCCCTCCCCTCACCCTGACCATTTCCCCCCTGCTCGGGTCATGACCCAACTGTGCAGCGCCTTGGGACGTCCTCCTGACGTGAAAGGCGCTCTATAAATGGAATCTTGTTGTTGTTGTTGTTGTTTATCGGTGATTTGTATTTAATGCTCCTTTTGAACATCATACTTTTTTTTTGACGTTTTGATAACATTGTTGTAAAAAGCGATACCTTGCTCTGATGAGTTGCCTCTAGGTTCTGCTCTCCCGCGTGGTTGGAAGACAAATCCGAAGTTGTAATTTTGCTGCCCATCAATTCTGTTCTGTTTGCCCATAAATTATAGAAAACTCTGTAAAACGCTTTTGAGACACATCGACACGATGAGGCACTGAATCAAATGTAAGCAGTTATTATTTTAAATCAGTCAACATGATGGTGCCTTTGTCACCTATAATCTGTTCCGTTCCGTATGCTTTGCAAGTACTGAAATTATTTCTCTGTGCCTCCACTGCTTCCCAGCAATTGACACTTTGGTCTCATGAAAGGAACCACGGCAAACGCTTTTTAAAATGAAAGCTTTTGCAACTTAAACCAATTTCAGTAATGCACGCTTTGTGTCTGTCTCCTCCTGACTTCCATTCTTGTCCCTGGAGTTCTGGCTCTTTGCTTTACAGGAATCCCGGATCGAAAAACCCAGTTCAGTAACATAGATATACAATCCTAGGGAATAAAATTAATCTCTGCTCAAGGAATGTAAGTAACGGTGACACTCATTCTACAAAGCATTTAAATTCCATTTCCTATGTTCACATAAGAAACTACAATCAGAATCTGAAATCCTGAATGGGTTTTCCTCTTTCTAGCCCAAAGGCAGTGAGATCAGCCAACTCAGCACACTCTGGGATTGAAACCCATAACCTTTTGGTCTCTACTGCTTTAGGCTACATTTTTTACTCACTATTCTGTCAAAGGACAACTCATCCGGAATTTGTAGCAGTATAGAAATTCTGAAGCTCTTTTTCTGTTTAACCGTCCTGGTATATTTCCAATCCAATGATACCTGAACAGATTTGTATTCGGAAAGGGCAGGTGCAGAGCAAAAAGAATACATTTAATTATTTGATACAACAGTTTGACACCTCTAACTGTGAAGGACAGTGAGAAGTGTTGTTAGCTGTGTCAGTGGTGGGTCTGGGAGATATGGATTTTATTATTCGTAAATAACTAATTTGATGCCAGAGGACCATCAAATGAGTGTCTAGGTAGTTAAGCATCTATGGATACTGTTCATTTCTTTTGAAGTAAAAACTCATAGGTGCTGGAAAAAAAACCCAAAATGTTTTGAATTTAATTGCATCAATTTTTTTTGCTGAAAGAACAACTTTGGTAAAGAACCCAATAGTAGTGGTTAAGCGGTACCATTCATGCTAAGAAAAAAACTGTCTTCAACCTTTAAAAAAGGAAAGGAACTCAGATAACGCAGCGAGAATTGGATAAGCATCTGAAGTGGTAGGATATTAGAGGAACAACGAAAGAGCAGAGAATTGGGATGTGAGGAAAAGCTCCATTGGGCTAAAACAAATCCACTGCAGACAAAAAAAAGGGAAACTGATCAATTGGATGCATTGGTATTGCCTCTCAAGCGAGAGGACCTGGGTTCGATTCCCGGGCAGGGTGAAACGTTAGGCAGGTTTCCTTACTCCACACGCACGCCTCTGTTTACTTAGCAATAAGTAGGAACCTGGTTGTTAGTCGATTGGTGGATTGCTTTTCCGGGGATAATAATTCCTTCAAAAACTAACAGTAATAATCGGTCACTCAATCCACGACTGTTTGTGGGGACGCTGCTGTGCACAATTGTCTGCAGTGTTTCACCCACAAAATATAGTCAATTCACTTTACAGTATATTCTGTGAAGCGCTTTGAAACGTCTCGAAGACATGATCAGGCGCTGTATCAAGTGCAAAGATTATTATTATTATAGCTTGTGGGTTTGCACTTAGCGTGAGCACAAGCTAAAGCATCCAAACTCAACAGTGTCATTCGCCTCAGACTAGTTGTCAAGTGGAAATTTCCGTTCCTGTCTTTCTGATTACTGTTCTCTATATATAACTGTAGAGTTTTATTTATATATATATATATATACACATATAGATAGATAGAGAGAGAGAGCTTAAACAATAATAGAAAAGCTAACTCTTCGCATTTGGGGGGGAAAAAAAACTGGTGCAGACCTTGGCGGTAAGTGAGGAGGTGGTGGGGGGGGGCAGGGAGGGGAAATATTAATTAAGGAATATTGGGAAATGGGAATAGCTATGGGAATACCTACACCAAGGCTCGTCACATTTATCAAGGAAAGCCAAGTGCGTACATTCAATTTTCTATCGGTTCAACTCGCTGGCAATGTGCAGCAGCGGAGTAAGCAAGCTATTCTTAGCAAAGAAATAGCGTGTGTGTGTGTTTTTTTTTCCAGCATCGCCATGGCAACAAAAGAAAATGTGACTTCGCAGCGAGGAATGATGAAATCAATACAAAGCAAAGTGAACACCTTGGCCAGTATCCTTTTCAAACCATTTTAGAAAGCGTTCCAAATAGTTTCATAGGTGTGAACACATCTCAAAGGCGAGAGGCATGTGATTGTTTGGTAGGCTTGAAACTTGATCTGCCAAAGTAAATTTATGCTCAACGCAACCGTGGTGCTTATCTTAAGGTGGTAAAACTAACTCCCCCACCCCCCCCCCCCCACCCACCCTCATATGAAAGGACCATTTTATTGGGACGATTTTAGCAAAATATTTAACAGCAAAGCAAGTCGAGATGGTCCTGAGATCTTGGAACTTGAAACTCTTGTTTTTGCAAGTTTCAATGACTGTGCGTTCCACTAGGTAAAAGGTAATGTACATTTTAAAGACAGTTTAGCAATACATTCCTACAGCGTGTTGCAGTTATACTGATTGTTCACGCTCCAGAGCAATAGTGGGGACCAATTTCAAGCTGCTGTTTACAAACCTCCACCTCAAGTTTGTAAAGTTTCTGGTGTCAGTCTTAGATACTGTTATCCATTAGTGTTTGCTCATGAGCCTTTTGGACTAACCAAGAAGCGTAAGAAATAATTCTAGAAGAGAAATCTCCAGCATGAAAAAGAAATGTGTTTTAAAAAACACCAGACTGCCTGCCCTGCAATATTCTCTGAATATCCTCTTGCCAGAAAATACGGTATTGCATTCTGTGTCAAGGATCAGCAAGGTGGCAGTGAGTATGCTTTCTTAACAAAAATGTGCAAAATGATAGGCATTTCATTTTATTTCTTTCAACTATAAACACTTCATTGAAGGGGATTTGGTCTCGGGGAAGGTACTGAAATAATAACCCAGGCTTGCATATAGGATAAACTCTAAGCAGTCTGTGCATAAAAACTGCTAAGTGGCATTAAGAGCTGCACAGTCAAATTATTTGCCTGTTTACGCCACTCTTCTGAAGTAGTTGCAGCCTGACTTGTGAGGTGGAAAAGACCTTTCCATAGACAGCATCATTTGAAATCGGATGCTTGTTTACTGAGTCAGGTGTGCTCTCTCTCTCTCTCTCTCTCTCTCTCTCTCTCTCTCTCTCTCTCTATCTGTGTTCTCTATGAAGTTCAAGCTTCAGTAGATTTACTTTGCCTGTCTGTTCAGATAAGCATTTTGCCCGGCCTTTGTGCTTGGAACATATCGCAGCCCAGCCCGTTCATTAGCCCTTCTTTCTCTATCTACCACATGAAGCTGTGCCTGTCGCTCAGGTTTCAGTAGCCTGCGTGCGCGTGCGCACTTACCAACTGCATTGAATTATGCATTATAGATTATTGATTAAATCGGATTTCAATAGTAATATAATACATTTTATACCATTTATACAAGTTTGCCTGTAGCTTGGACTTCGCACAAGGCTGTAAGTGTCAAGGTACCCGACTGATACGACTTATGTGAGTTTTACTGTATACATAACTTTACTGGCCCAGAGTCCAGGTTAAACTCAGCTGGATCAAAATTTGAATTGGTGCATTGTGTTCTTTTTCCTGCTTAATTGGAACTTTCTTCTTTCGTTTGCTTTGTGCCTGTACTATACTGTACTGTACTTCAGGTTTTTGAATTGTATGTAACCTGACCCATCACTCAAAGTATGAAGCCCGTAGTGATTGTTTTAGTGATAAAACGTACTTTGTGTACGCAGGCTTCAAAAATATTTAAACATTAATCTTCTAAAGGTTGCTGTGATCTGGGATTATGAGAAGTGAGGACAAATTAACCCTTTTGGTGTAAAAATTGTGAAAACAGTTTGGCTCATCCAGAATATCTCAGAGCAAAACTGGAGCTGAGCTGAGCACACAATGTTAGAACGTGGCTCCTTTTTACTCATCAAACCAGATGTTCAAATCCAGCCCGCACAGGCACAGTGCAGTGGCCTCTTTGTCTGAAGGCTGAAAGGTACTAAGTGAAAGAAGCTTGAGTTCAGTTCCTAGAAAGTAAAAGTTGTGGAGTCCTGTAGCTCAGTGGTTAGAGCACTCGCCTTGCAAGCGAGAGACCTGAGTTCAATCCCAGGCAGGGCGAAACCTTGGGCAAGTTTCCTTACTCCACACACCTAATAATAATCCCTCCAAAACGAAAAACAATAATAAATTGGTCATTTTCAATCTACGACTGTTTGTGGGACATTGCTGTGCGCAATTGGCTGCCGCGTTCGCCCACAAATATACAGTCAATTCACTTTACAGTGTGTTCTGTGAAGCGCTTTGGGACGTCCTCCCGACGTGAAAAGCGCTATATCAAATGCAAGGATTATTATTATTATTATTATTATTATTATTATTATTACCATCTAGGCAGTTGTAGAATGGAGAACTTTCACTCTGGCCAGAAATGATTGGCTTTTCATTTCGTTTTAGTTCATTTTATCGGCTGCCGCGTTTCGCCCACAAAACATAGTCAATTCAATTTACAGTATATTCCGTGAAGCGCTTTGAGACGTCTCAACGACACGATAAGGCCCTCTATCAAATGCAAGGAATATAAATCGGAGGGAGAGCCCTTGCGGTTCTGTATCAGTAAATACTGAGATCTGGAGACCCGAGGAAGCACCAAACTGTATTTCAACCCCATTAAACTTGTCGTATTCAATTCAGATTTCAATGGTAGCCAGAGGCTTTTCTAGTAAAGCGTTTTTAAATGTTCAGTTATTTCATTCGGTTCAGGATTATTAAACATCAAAGACTCCAGAGGGGAAACCAGGAAGCAGTGCAGCTGGATAGATAGCTGTCCTTCCATATCTGAATGCTGACATTGAATCCAGCTCAAACTGACAGAATCAAGCCTTTTGTGCCAAGTAAAATGTGTCTCATCACATTTCTTTGTGAGAGTGATTCCAGCAGCGTAAAAAGCTGATAATGGCAAGAAATAGAAATGTCACAGGTTGCAACAGGAATATTCTTCCAGGTCTTGACTAAGGCACAGATTTTGCGATCGGGGCCAGGGTGGGTATCAACAACAGCAACAACAACAACTACTTGCACTTGTATCGCGCCCTCCACGCAGGGCAGCGTCTCAGCGCTTAACAGTGACGGAGCCCGACTCAGCCGGATGGAGATGGGGTGGGGGGGAGGTGGCCATAAGCACAGTCGAAGAGGAAGGTTCTCAGCTGGGCCTTGACAAAGGGGAGAGAGGGGCAAGGCGGAGGGATTGAGGGAGAGTTTTCCAGAGTTTCGGGGCGCAGTGGCTGAAAGCGAGATCTCCGATGGTGGCGCCGCGAGGGACGAGCAGGAGGCCGGTGCCAGTCGAGCGGAGGCGTCGGGTGATGCATTGGGGAATGACGAGGTCGATGCCAGAGAGTGAAGGGATTTGAACGCAAATGTGAGGATCTTGAAGGGTAGGGGCGGAGTGGGTTAAATTAAGGACCCAGGCCCATCGAACTGCTTTGGGGCCGAGGTAAAACCTAGATGTGAAAGTGGTGATGGGCAGGACATCTGAGGCAGCTTGCGAGAGGTATGTTGCTGCACAGTGGAAACTTGGCCACTTCGTGCAGAACAGATGTATTTACTTGGAAGGTTTTTATGTGCGAATCTTTGTGCGTGAGATTTCAATGTCGAAAAAGAAGGTTTAAGATAACATTGAACACAGAAAGGATTCTGAGTTTGTGGATTAACTCATGCAGCCTGAAATGCTGTATTGTAACTGCGCACTGCAAACTAATGCTCTGAGCGTCTGAGAAGGTGCTCCACAGTCAAATGTTTTCTCATTGTTTTCAATGCTTCGCCTTTGTCAGTAGGTATTAAGAGATATAGGATGGGACAATGGGATTCAAAAAATCTCCCATATCCAGTAAATGGGTGGAACAGGCTCAATGGGCTGAATGACCTCCTCCTATTCCTGTTCTCCTGTAGTTCCTGTGTCAGTATTTTGGTCTAGTTTTACATGGAATTATACAGAATTGAGCCTGTTCCACCCATTTACTGGATATGGGAGATTTTTTTAATCCCATTGTCCCATCCTATATCTCCATTCAGCTCAACTAGGCCGTGCCGGTGTTTATACTCCACACACGACCCACACACCCCCCCCCCCCCACCCCTCATACCACCATCACAACACCCGCTGGCCCTTCCCCTCCATTAATGGTACAAAAGTATAACACGATTGATTGCTGGATATCTTACGAGCTTGGTTTTGTGTGTGTATATATGTGACATTTTTAATATATTGGAAATGAAATGAATGCATCTTCCTTAACAGAATTCCAGATCGATTTCCTGCTATTAACAGCCTGGTCCAGAGGATAAATCTGAGGAAGCGCAGGGACACATTAATTCTCGGTGCTGTTATTGGCATCTGTACTATCTTATTATTACTGTATGCCTTTCACTGATGAAACCTCCCTGTAAAAAGCAGCAAGGCACCAGGGAGTGGGAGCGGGGAGTTTAAAGAACTGAGCCTTCTTAAGCTGACTGGATTGCTAAAGCGATGGATTTAGGTTGCACTGGAATACTTTAATACTTTGCGTTCCTTTCTGGGCCACAGTTCTTTGGTTGGTTTATGATCAAATGTAAAACTTGGATTTTTTTTAAATAGAAAAGAAACTAGGTTCTTTTTGTGCTCTTTACATCTGAGGTCTTCTGCGTAATCAAGTCGGACGAAACGATGGATACAAGCGCGTAATTTACTTCCCAGAGCGCTGAAACGTTGCAAGAACAAAGTGCTACCGCACCTCCCCACCCTCCCCTCAATTCTCCAGCTGATCAGTTTGTGCTCCAACTAATGTCCCAAAGTGAAATTGGATATTTTTAAAAAGAAATTAATCTCACTCTTGAAATCCTAAGTGTGTGTTTAAAATAAATAAATATATATATATGTATATTTCCAAGGCCAAATGTAATACAATTGGCTCAGTGCATTTATATTCCAATATGCTCTGCCAAATAGTGGTGAGATACCAATCTGTCGCCTTGATTCCCCACAGACTTAAGTTTCTGTTCTTATCTGGGAGAGGCACCCAGCTAGTCATTCCTCATATGGAATATGAGTTCTCCTGAGCAGCGATCATGCACTTTTATAGCGGTTTGTTGCAGAGCAGCATTGGCAGAGACCCGAGAGCACGTCCGACCATCTTGGCTATCAGAAGGCGACAAAAAGAGAATGGGGAGGGGGGGTGGATTGTAAACTTCTTTAAGATTCGAGCATCAAGGTTGTTTTTGATTTTGTTTCAACCTCCTAACCCCCTTCCCCTATCACCACCACCCCCACCCCCAAAGCAATTTCTGAACACTTCTTGTAAAGCCTTGTTGACAGTTTTGAAATGTATATAATATACTCGTCAGCTTTTTGTAACCGGTGTTCCGACTCTGCATATACAGCACTTGCCATCTCTGTCAGTTTGTGTTACGCCATTTAAGTCAACGGTGACCCACTCTGGCCAGTGTCTCTAATAAAGGCCCCTCATAGCATCAAGCAATTGCCCTCTTCCCCCCCTCTACCCCACAAAAAAAAGTAATCCACTTAAGGTTGAAAGTACTTACATTCTGCACTGCCCCCATTGCAAATAAAAATGGAATCATTATAAACATAGGTTGCTATTAAATTCTTGTGTATTTTCAAGTACTGAAATTGTGATTTGCTCTTTTCCCCAATAACGTAGCCATCATGATACATTTATGTCGAAACCATGGACTGTGGCCTTCTTAATGACTTTTGCAGAGTGCGACACTACCAGTCAATATTGTCTCCCGTTGAACTGAAGACTCTGGTTCCATCTCAAGACTTGCGTAACCTACTTGGAATGTTAGGGTTGAAAAATTCATGCAAGAGCACGGCTCAGTGCTTGGAAATGGGAATCATTCCAGGGAGGATCTTTTTTGTTGTATATAATAACCTCTGAAGTTGGGTGGGTGGGTGATGAGATTTTGTTGTACATCCTGCTTTTATGGGTTACCCAAACTGTGTAGTTTGCAAAGGCTTGGCAGGATGATAGGCTTAATCGAATCCAAATTGTCCGATTATATAAGCTAGGCTTTTGTTTACTACCTCGTCGTGTTGACCTATATAAAAGTTTTTTTTGCCCCAAAGGTGGAGTTTACACAGCTGCTGTCTATTGTTTATCTGTTCAACGCTCCTAGTGTCAAAAATATTGTCATATGTCAGCAGCGTTTCTTCTCTCTCCCCATTCCCTCTCTTCCCCCCTCCCCCTCTCTCCCCCAAACGCTCTCCACGCCGCTTCTCTCTCCCTCTCCATTGCTTCTTAAAAATGCTTCTGGAAAATTTGTTAATGTAGATTTTAATAATCTTGTAAAATAATTTTCAGTTCTGCTCTGCTAATGTACATTTTCTGCATTGTAGAGAGGAGCTCTGACTGTATGTAATTTGTTAATAAATTAGAATCCTAAAACGCTTCTGCTCGCTGGTGTTTTTCTCCCCCTCCTGTATATGATGAGATCTCCCTCGTCAACAGTTACAGTGACTGTTTGTTGCCACAGATAGATATCACTGAGTTTTGCTGCTGCTGCAGTGGATTTCATCGCCGCCTGTTTTCACCCTCCTTGGAAGGTCTTATCTGAATTTTCCTGCGCATCCCAAGTTTGTGTTAAACATTTGGAATAGTTTTTTGCAGTTGCGATTCTGATCGATAAACCTAAAAAGCAGACCTTAGCCCAGGATAAATCGCCTGGTGGCCAGAGCTGTTGGCATCTGTATGATTGCTTCACTGAACTTAAATCGAGCTGTCTTGAAAAATGTCATCTGTTATTGGGAGCAGAAACACTGGATGTCCACAGCAGGTTTAAAAAAAAGTGTCTGAAAGAGAAAGATAGGTTGACATTGAGACCATTGCTATTAAGTTCTTACTCCTGACACAATGTTCAAATCCTGAAATCCTTTGCCGAATGTGTGGCATGAATTGCTTTTGGGAGACGGTAGAGGCAGATTGTGTCAGCAAATTCACGAGGGAGCTCAACAGCTTCTCGGTGAAGAAATCTATTAAAGGGAATGAGATTTTTATTTCAATTGCTTGGGGGTTAGGTTGGTAGCAATGGCCTTTTTGCGGACCTTGCACATTCCAATGTAATCTACGTGAGTAATGATCCCAACATTTGATATCCGGTTGAAAACCAGTGCCTTGTTTACATCAAATGTAAGGATTATTATCATCGTCATCATCGTAATAATAATTAAAACACCTCAAAGCGTCTGCAGATTGTTCAAAGGGAGTGTAATTGATAAAGAAATGCTACATCGTTCTTCATTACTTAATGAGCTTCTGCTCGGCTACCCCATGTCCTCAATCCCTGCCGCGTCTGTGCTGCTTCACAAAGAAGCTTGATTTTTGCCGGGTGAAATTTGCGATGGATTCGTGGGACAGCGAATAATTCAATTGACGCAAAATCTTACAGTTCGGAACCCAGATCTCTCTTGACCACCGGACTTTATATCGAAGGCGTTCCAACATAAAGAACTCGGAAAAGCCGGCTTAATGAGACACAATTTCTAATGGGTAAAGAGTACCTCAGGAGCAAGAGACAGTTAAGTGCTTCTCTTCCCTCTTGCTCTATCCCATCCCCACGAACCAGAACCGTCAGCTGATTTTCCAGTGCATCCGGTCACACAATACAAATGTGTGTCTGTGTGGGCCCCACTATCTATTCCGTCTGGAACAGGGAGCTTGAGGATTTTAATATGTGCAACTATTCTAATAATAAATAATATTAATTCTAATATTCTTCATTTTCCCCCCCCCCCAAAAAAAAAAATTTTTATATCAAATTTAAATACTGAATAATCATCCTTGTATTTGGTAAAGACCTACCGCTTTCGGTCATCTCTCCCCTCCTCACCCCCCCTTGGCTCCCGCACCCGCAGCTCGGGTGCCCAGCGTGGGTTGTTGAGCGCTTTGAGACATCCGCCCGCCCTATGCCGCGTAAATGTAAGTTGTATTATCGCACCGTCTCAAAACGCTTCACGGGATTTTCCGTTGAGCGACTGCAGTTGTAGGCGGACGTGGCAGACGTTTTGTGCGCAGCACTGTCCCACAATCAGCCATGGAGTGATTTAATTGAAGCGAGTTCTAAGTTGCACGCCTTTATTATCATCATCACGCAGGGGGACTGGCAGTGGATGGACGGTGTCGTAAAGAGAAGTTTGGATGCCTTCAGCCCATTTGATCCCATCCTTCCAGAATATCCGCCCTCCCATCCTCCAATTACAGCCTCCAGCTGTTTCTTAAATGTGTCCTAGCGCCCTGGTAATCCTGTTCCAGTTAATTCCCCGCTGTGTAAAGTCATCGCAAACGGTACGGTGATGATAAAATAGACGGGCTTCTAACAACCAAAAAAGACTAGCAGTTTGAACAGTTCAACGCTGCGAGACCCTTGTATCTCAGAATTATTGTCGCATTTGTTGTTAAATTCAGCTTTGCGTGGCCGGTTCGATGGCAGCAAGCTGCCTGACATGCGGTTAAAAACACCAGTCCCGGCTTTTAATGGCTTTCCCTTTTTAAAAACTTGTAACAAAGCTACAGAATATTAAATATTTGATGAAGGAATGCTACATTGTTCATCATTACTTAATGAGTTTCTGTTGAACTCCCTCAAGTCCTCAGTCGCTGCTGTCTGTCTGTGTTGCTTGATTTCTCCCGACGAGCATCGGGCTGGTGGTAAAATGAGGCAAAGCGCTAGCTGGGGTCAATGCAGATTTTGCCCGGTGTCTGGCACACGCAGAAACCCATCACAAATGCAAGGATTATTATTATTTATATTCTCAGCGTGCTTGAGCATATCGAAACCTAATTTGAGAGGTCCACATATGTCTGCCACCCACACATGCAGATTTTTCTATTAATTAGGCTAGAATAGGAATGCACACTCTTCCCCCCCAGAGGGATCCACCCTGCTTACCTAATTTTGGAGAGTATGAGGCTTCGGGGACTCCAGACAGTGTGTCGGGGTAACTTCTGGAGTTTAACTCGCTCAAATAATTGGATCTCCCACTACTTTGGTTTCAGTGCCTCTTGGTTGGAGCAGAAAACTTCAATCGCTTGTTTGTTCCTCTCCAAAGTTCCCTCTTCCCTTCCACCCACACCCCAATTTCTCCCGGCCCTTTCCTAAGCTTTGCTTAAGGCGCTGTTTTTGGAATGTTATTGACTGTTCAGGCACCATTTGAGTTAGACCTCCTAGAATAGCAATGCGTGTCTCTGCAGTTAATAAGCTTGAAGGGAAAATCAGACCATAAATCTCAACCCATTTCTCGCCAGATCTATTATTAATGACCACGTCAGGTTTGTACCTTAATAATACAGAGACGATCAAACGCTTGGAGGCTTAACGCAAGTTGCCTGGGCACATCGTCTCAATGCTCACTGCCCAGTGAAAGTGTAGCTGATGAACTTTTCGCTCACAAAATATACAGTCAATTCACTTCACAGTATATTCTGTGAAGCACTTTGAGACGTTATCGAAGACCTGATAAGGAGCAATAATCAAATGTAAGGATTATTATTATGAGTCTCCTCAGCCTTATCCCCTTTTGAACCCTCGTTAAAGTACAGGCTTTAAACTTCAGGCGAGCATCGAGCTGGGAAGCAATACAACAACAACAACAACAAAATTACATTTATATAGAGCCTTTCACGGCTGGAGGATGTGCCAAAGTGCTGGACAGTCAGTGTTTCCCACCCGAGCTGGGAGTCAGGATTGGGGAGGGTGGAGGTTGAGGGGGCGGGGAAGCAGGGTGATCAAAAGCAGAGTGGCAGAATAGTGGGGCAGACGAGGTGGGGGACATGAAGCAGGCTGGAGCCCGCTGAGTGGAGGGAGCGACCAGGACGGTAGGGGGTTAGGCAGTTGCAGAGGTAGGAGGGAGCAAGGCTGTGGAGGGCTTGGAAGTGAGGACCAGGATCTTGAACTGTATCTGTGTGATGGGGAGACAGTGGAGTCGGGGGAGGATGGGAGTGATAGGGTCCCGGAGCCTGGTGCGGGAGAGGACACAGGTGCAGAGTTCTGGATGATCTGCAGCCTATGGAGGAAGGAGTTGGGGAGGCCGACAAGCAATGAGTTTGCATAATCGAGCCTCGATGTAATGAAAGCGTGTATGAGGGTCTCGGTGGCCTGCGGGGTGAAACAGTGGCGGAGCCGGGCGTTGCGGAGGTGGGGGAAGGCAGAGCGGGTCATGGCACGGATGTGGGGTAGAAAGGAGGGTAAAACAAGACGCCAAGGTTCCAGACTGGCTTAGCGAGGTGGAGCGTGCAACCGTGGATGGTGATGCTGTCAGCGCCTTGGGACGTCCTCCCGACGTGAAAGGCGCTCTATAAATGGAATCTTCTTGTTGTTGTTGTTGTTGAGGTCTGGAGGCGCTGACGAGAGCCAATCAGGAGAGCCTCGGTCTTGTTGATGTTCAACTGGAGAAAGTTAACTCTCATTCAGGACTTGATGTCTGACAGACATTTAGACATCAAGAGGAAAAGCTCACTCTTGTATTACAACAACAACAACAACAAGATTGCATTTATAGAGCGCCTTTCACGTCGGGAGGACGTCCCAAGGCGCTGGACAGTTGGGTCAGGACCCGAGCAGTGGGGGAAATGGTCAGGGTGAGGGAAGGGAAGGGAGGGAGCGAGGAGGGGGTAGAGAGTCGAGAGGGGAGCTGATATTACTCTTGTATTACTGCGGGAATGACGGATGTTTATTTGTAACTGTGGCAGTCAATAAATTAGTCCATCGATCTGTTATGGAGAGCTTCCTTGTTAAATTGAATAAAACCCACCGCCGGTTTCCATGACCAGTTGCTGCCAGTTACCAGCTTGAGCCTCGAATGTTTGTTGAACGGTGCATTTTAAAGTCCTATGGAATCCCTGTAGCTCAGTGGTTAGAGCGTTCGCCTCGCAAGTGAGAGTGGACCCAGTTTCAATTCCTGGGCAGGGCAAAACCTTAGGCAAGTTTTCTTACTCCACACGCTTCTGTTTACCCAGCAGTAAATAGGAACCCAGTTGTTAGTCGATTGGTGGATCGCTTTCTGGGGGTAATAATCCCTTGCCCCCTCCCACCCCACCCGCACCCAAAAATAATAATAATAATTTGTTCTCTCAATCCAAGACTGTTTGTGGGGACGCTGCTGTGCGCAATTGACTGCTGCGTTTCGCCCACAAATATACAGTCAATTCACTTTACAGTACTGTGAAGCGCTTTGAGACGTCTCAACGATGTGATAAGGCGCTGTATCACACGCGAGTATTACTATAAACTCAGGGACTCGTTCGTCCCCACGTCTCAGTCCAGCTCCCAGTTCTGGTGCTTATATATAAAAAAAATCCCGGTTGATATATGTCTTAAAGGCTTTGACCGAAGATCAAAAATATTTTGGATGAGTCGCCGTGAGCTCCGTGCTATTTCGGTCTGTTCTGTC